CCCAGCATCAGGGTCTTTTCCAATGTGTCGGCTTTTTGCACCACATGGGCAAAGTACTGGACATCCTTGGGGGACCAGTATTCTGCTACTGCAGTCTGGAAATATATGGAGATTCTTCTTAGGGGAAAACTGATTAAAAATTTTAAAAGACAGAGAAAACAGAAGCAAGGGGTACTTAAATCTACAGACTTACTGCAATCCCTATCAAAATACCAGAGGCATTTTCCACAGAACTGGAACAAATAATTCCAGAATTTTTATGGAACCACAAAAGACCCTGATAGCCAAAACAATCATGAAAAGAACAAAGACAGAGGTATCATGCTTCCTGATTTTAATCTATACTTCAAAGATATAGTAATCAAAACAGTATTGTACTGGCACAAAAACAGACATATAGATCAATAGAACAGGTTTGTATCAACAAAGTAAAAAGCAGCCCACTGAATGGGAGGAGATACTTGAAAAAGATATATCCAATAAGGGGTTAATATCCAAGGTACTTGAAGAAATCACACAACTCAACATTAAAAAAAAAAAAAAACAACTCAATTAAAAAATGGGCAGAGGACCTTAACAGACATTTTCCCAAAGACAAATAGATGGCCAACAGATGCATGAAAAGATGCTCAGCATCACTAATCATCAGGGAAATGCAAATCAAAACCACACTGAGATATCACCTCACATGTCAGAATGGCTGTCATCAAAAAGGCAACAAATAACTAGTTTGACAAGGATGTGGAGGAAATGCAAACCATCACTAAACCTATGAAAATAAGTTCAGCTCTCTTAGAGGTCAGGGAACTGAAATGCAAACTCCAGCAGCATCTCAGTTTTCATCCAACAGTGGACAGATTTGGCAAAAGGCAGGTGACCCTCACATGTGGAGGAGGGCACAGCAATCCACTCCAGTCTTCTTGCCTGGAGCCTGGCAGGCTACCACTGAAAGGAGCCTGATCGACTGCAGTGGCTGCAGAGCAGGGCGAAGCATGGGGAGCCCTCACGCGTGGGGTTGGGAACTAGGGCACACGCACCCAGCTGGCAGGAGCAGGAGCTGCTCCAAACTTTTTGGGACACAGTCTGGCAGACTTTTTTTTAATCACCACGTAGATTTTTAAGCTATTAATATTCTGTCATATTTTCTTCAAAGCTTTAAAAGAAATTTAAAAAGCTGTACAGATACTATCGAAGCTCTTGACCTGGTTGGAAGCACATAGATTTGTTACCCTGTATAGAAATGTTTGTATTATTTTTTAGATTCTATTTTGCAGTAATTTTTAAAATTTTTGACAGAACTTATTGTTATGCTTGATGCACACATCTTCTGACCCTATTCCTCAGAAATGAAGGCTCCAGAATTTATGGCTATATGATTGGGCTTCTCAGGTGGCAGCAGTGGTAAAGAACCCACCTGCCAATGCAGGAGAATAAGAGACTTTGGTTTGATCTCTGGATTGGGAAGATCTCCTGCCGGCATGGCAACCCACTCGGTATTCTTGCCTGGAGAATCCCCATGGACAGAGGAGCCTGGTAGGCTACAGTCCATAAGGTTGCAAACAGTTGGACAGGACTGAAGCGACTTTGCATGTACTAGAGATGTGCAGTGCAGCACTGTTTCAGAGGCAAAAATGTATAAACCATCTGAATATCCATCAAGCAGTAAATGATTAGGTAAATTCATAGATATTACTTTCACAGTAGGGACTACCATGCAGTAATTACATAAAATGAGTTAGATCTCTATGTATTGATCTGTGATGCCCACAAAATAAAAAGCAACTTATAATTTGTATAGTAGTGATTTTTCTATTTTATATTCATTTACATGTCTGTACATTTTTAAGAAATATCTCAATATGTGCATTTGCTTGACTATGACCACTGGAGCATGGAGTGGAGATTCTCAGTCAGGGGCAACATTGCCCTCCAGGGGACATACGGTAACAGCTGAAGGCATTTTTGGAAATGTCAACCCACTCCAGTACTCTTGCCTGGAAAATCCTATGGATGGAGGAGCCTGGTAGGTTACAGTCCATGGGGTCGCAGTGAGTTGGACATGACTGAGCAACTTCACTATGAACTATGAAGGCATTTTTGGTTGTCACCATTGGGGAATGCTAATGGTGTAGATGCTGAACATCCCCAATGCACACAGGAAAGCACCTCCCCCCTCAACACCTGCAAACAATCTTCCAGTCCAAAATGCCAGCACAAAAGTTGAGAAACCCTGGCATAGAGAAAGGAAAAAAAGGATAAACATGAAACTATTAACAATCAACTTGTTCCTTAAAACATATATGTTTTTTGGTTTATTACAATGAGTGTTTATTTTGACCTCTAAGAATTATCCTATAAAAATAAAAAATAATACTCAATAAAAGTTTATTCTTATGGCAAAGACAATGGAGCAGGAAGGAGTGGGAGATTGTTGCCCAAGCCAAGCTGTTTTTCAAGAACAGATCTAGGGGCAGGAGTGTAAACTCAGGGTGATGAGAGCTGGAGGCAGGAGGGGATGGGTGGGGATGCCCTGGAGCCTGGCCCTGCCACTGGAGCTCACCAGCTTAGAGTGAACCATCCCAGGGCTTTTGTGAGTTGAACAGGGACCTGCAAAAAATGTCCTATGATTTGGAAAGCCTACTGTGAGAGGAAGAAACAAGCTTTAACTCTATTTCCATTTTATAGGCTGGAATAAACCATTTTATGATCAAGAACTGTAACATATCAGAAGGGAATTTCTCCCTGGTCTGCTGAGAGTTGAGTTAGCAGGTATTTCTTGGCAAAGAATGGTCAATTAAGGTGGGAAAACGAAAATAGCATTCTCTGCTGCAGGTCTAATCAGAGTTTTTAAGATACTCGTGTGTTCTCTCCAAAGGGCAGCTCTCAAACGCAGGACTTCCCTATCCTTCACACAAAAGTTCATGCTCTGTCTCTAAGTCGTGTCCGACTCTGTTGCGACCCCATGGACCATAGCCACAAGGTTCCTCTGTCCACGGAATTTTCCAGGCAAGGATACTGGAGTGGGTTGCCATCTCCTCTTCCAGGAGATCTTCCCAACCCAGGGATCAAACCCTAGTCTCCTGCATCTCCTGCATTGGCAGGCAGATTTTTTTTTAACCACTGAGCCATCTGGGAAGCCCTCCCTATCTTAACCAAGTCTTTTTAACTGAGAGCATCTTCCGAAACCAGGAATCCATGGAATACACTTCAGGAAATACTAACCTAGTCTAATCATAGTTTTACAGATTAGGAAATGGTGGCCAAAACAAAAAGTGACTGAGTTGGCTGGTGGGTTTCATCCCAGAACACTTGTTTTCCAGACCACTGCTTCTCCCCAACCCCAGCATTAAACATCTCACCATAGTTACAAATCAACTATGGATTCTTGGGGAACATTCCTAGGACTTAGGGATATTTTTTTCCAATTTAATTTGGTAGAGTTGCAGTGGGGGCAAGGGAGAAAGAATGGTGGAATTCATTCAAAGCAAAACTCACCTTTCAATAGAATCAAGACATCCTTGGTCTTAGAGATTTTTTTTTCTCCTTGATGGAGAGGCACCCATGAAGACTGTGCTCATGTGAAGGGATGCTCCGTCTGGTCCTTTTGAAAATATAACCTGCACAGGGCATGTGGGAACACCTGGGACTTCAACCCTCCCCAGTTTACCTCAAGTTGATCTCCTTGGGCCAGGGGAAGCCCTACAAAACTGATTCTGTATCAAGAAATAAACTTACTAAAGTTTCCTAGATCTTCTTACATGCTGGGCCTCTGCAAGACACTGAGAATTCAAAGAAGAATAGAACATAATTTCTGCTCTAAAGGGTCGTTTTGTTTTGTTTTTTAAATCAGGTAGGGAAACAGACACTGCATGTAGCCAGACTGGGACAGGGCTATACTGACCATGGGAATTAGGGCCTAGGAGCCCATGGAGGGCAGTGTTTACAAAGCCCACCCTAAGAAGCTTGCACACCCGAGCTCGTGGGCAAGGTCGGGGTGGGGGGGAAGCTATGGAAGATGTTTCCAGTTTTCAACGGAGAACTCCCGTCCTAGTACATTCTGGGACTCCATTACCATTAATAACTCCCGTTTCCCGTGGAGGAATCTCGCTTATCCTCTTCTTAGTTAACAGCTTCCGGAGGTAGCCACCCCTTTACCCACATCACCAAGGGCTTTGGTTCTGGGTGTGCTAAGTCGCGTCAGTGGTGTCCGACTGTGCGATCCTATGGACTGCCATCCGCCAGGTTCCTCTGTCCATGGGCTTCTCCTGGCAAGAAATACTGGAGTGGGTTGCTGTGCCCTCCTCCCGGGTTGGTTCTGGAAGGGGTCCACAACCTGGCCCTACCATCTTTCCCTTCCTCAGCCTCGCCTCAGGCCTGGATCTCATCACCTCAAAGCCACAGCTACAGGAAAATGATGCTAGGGCTGCGGGCAGATTCTGTCCACGTTCTTATAGGTTGGGCCCACGTTCACAGTGACTGTTACAGTGCCAGGAGACCCAGCATCACAATTTGCCTCCATCACAATTAATACTGTGGCCTTTGGGACGCTACTACTAAATGGGGACCACTTGATGTGTGGCAAGTATCCTGACAGGCACTGGCTTCACGTCTTCCATCAGCAGCCTCCACGTCGCCCGAGCACAACTGTCAGCCAAGAAGCATATGAACTACAGTGGGGCTGCCCCATTCGGACGACGACACTGAGTCTCACAGGCGCAAAACAAGTTGCACCCAACCTCAGCGTTAGCAAACGGCAGGTGCCCAGAAGCCTACAATTGAAACCGTTACTAGCCCCGCCCCTAACCGGCTGCACGGATTGGGCAATGAGGCAGAGTTGCGCAGGCGCAGCCTTTCCTGATGGCCCGCCCCGGAAAGGTCACGTGAGTAAGGCGGACACTGGGCCGGAAGGAAGCGGAAGGGGGAAAAAAAGCCCTCCCCCCGGAAATCCTTTCTGTTTCAGGAGCCTGCTCCCGGAAGTGCTGGTGTTTGTAGCGGGCGTGATGGCGTCAAGGTTACTCCGCGGAGCTGGAGCTTTGGCCTCCCAGGCCCTGAGGGCCCGGGGTCCAAATGGAGTCTCCGTGGTGCGCTCTATGGCGTCTGGAGGTACTCGCCGGCAACGTGCGCCGTTGCCCTCCCGCGGTGGTGTTAGGTCAGCAAAGGCCGGGGTGGGGGAGACCTTTAATCTCCTCTGGACCCCAAAGGCCTGAGGCTCTGCGGACGTCTCCCTGTTATTCTCGACCGCAGCTGCTGCTGATCACCAAAGTGACCCGGCTGCGAAAAATTCCTAAACGTAGTTGCTGGGTGACCTTGGTGGGCAGGGTTTGCAACCGGGGCGTGGAGGGGCCAAGCCGCCCTTCAGACCTGCCCCGGTCTCCAGTTGGATGCACCCCACTAGGACTCTAATTAACCTGCTTTTGGGGGGGAAAAATTGCAGAAAAATCGGCCTCCGTGGTTGAAGGAAGAAAAGATCACCCCGTGTTCCACTTTTGGGTAACCTGACAGGTTCTTAGGGGACAGTGGGTATGGATAGACTGTGGGACCCTATGGGCCCGCTAAAACTGTAAGCAAAAGTTGACCCATGTGCGTTTTCCCTCTTGATCATTTCAGCCGACATTATAATTATTTTCTTTTAGGTGGTGTTCCTACTGATGAAGAGCAGGCGACTGGGCTGGAGAGGGAGGTCATGCTGGCTGCACGCAAGGGACAGGTGAGAAGAATGTTCTGTACCTTCTGGGAGAGTTCATTGCCTTGGATGGGATCAGAGCAGCCTCCTCTATGGGGAGCCTTCCCTCCAGGAAACCTGGCTTCTGGTACCAGTAGTGGTAGTCCCTGAGGGTAGGGATCATTTGTCATAATAAACCCTTTATTTTGTTTTTTTCAGGACCCGTACAATATACTTGCCCCAAAGGCAACCTCAGGTACCAAGGAAGACCCTAATTTAGTCCCTTCCATCACCAACAAGCGGATAGTGGGCTGCATCTGTAAGTGCTTCTCTACTATTTTCTCACCCTTTTGTTTGTTTGCTTATTCATTTTTTGTCTGTGCAGAATGTGGGATCGTAGTTCCCCAACCAGGGATGGAATCCACGCCCCCTGCATTGGAAGCATAGAATCTTAACCACTGAACCGGCTGGGAAGTCTCTGTTTAAGTTTTTGGGTTTTTTTTTTAATATTTATTTATCTGGCTCTGCCAGGTCTTCGTTGTGACCGTCGGGATCTTTATTATCGTGTGTGAGATGTTTTAGTTGCAGCATACAGGATCTAGCTTCCTGACCAAGGATGGAACCCAAGCCCTCTGCATTGGGAGCACAGAGTCTTAGCCACTAGAGCACCAGGAAGTCTTACCCATTTGTTTAATTTAATATCTGTTTAGTATGGAGGATGTCTATTGGTTTTTTCACATCTGTTGTCTGTGAATGTATATATGTAAAGATATGTGGATAAATGTTTTAAAGGTTTTAACCCTCAGTCTCCTTGCCAAAGTAGGTCACCCTCACTGTAAAGAGGCCTGGAACATCAATAATACTGCCTCAGTGGAGAGGTGGCGAGCAGAAATATTCATCTAGAAAATGCTGTACTTTCTCTTTGCCAGACACCACATCAGGCATTAGGTATACATGCCAAAATAGACCCAACTTTGGGGGTCTACACATGCAGGGAACTGTGAGAACCTAATGAGTAACTGATAAAGAGGTCAGTTTACTCACAGGTAAACTTGGCCACAGTTCCTTCATCTGAAAAATGGGATCAGCTTGAACTGACCTTAAGGTGTCAACCATAGCTTTATTTGCATCTCAGAGGTGTCTGAGGGCAGTGGGTTAACGGTGAAGGTCTTTCTAGGCTGCATGGCCTTCAGCTACCTTTTTTCTTTCAGGTGAAGAAGACAACAGTACTGTCATCTGGTTCTGGCTGCACAAAGGCGAGGCCCAGCGTTGCCCCAGTTGTGGAACCCATTACAAGCTGGTGCCACACCAGCTGGCCCACTGAGCCATTACAGTAATGCACTCAGAATGTGATATGGAATTTCTTCTTTCCAGTAAAGACTAGTCATTACATTGGCTTCTCTTCCCATAGTTGGTTGGTCTTATTTCTTTCCTGTGTTTTGGGGGAAATGTGGGTAATTTTTATGTCAGAAATAGCTATCTGTTAATATTACTTGCCATCCCCTTGCTCTTGTACACTGAGACTGTCGATCCCTAATGCGGTGATGGTGACAGTCGGCATGGGGAAAACAGGCTGTGGAGTCAGGCTGACTGGACTTGTCATGTTGGCTTCATCGTCTAGCTTTGTCACTGCGATCATGTTCTCTGAGGGTTTAGTAGCTAAGTTGTATCTTCTTTGTGACCCCATGGACTGTAACCTGTCAGGCTCCTCTGTGAATGGAATTCTCCAGGCAAGAATACTGGAATGGGTTGCCATTTCCTTCTCCAGGAGATCTTCCCGACCCAGGGATCGAACCCGGGTCTCCTGCATTGCAGGCAGATTCTTTACCACTGAGCCACCTGGGAAGCCTCGCTGACACTAGTGGGAAAGAAGGGTGAAGACACAGCCACTCTTTCAGCGTCAGAGGCAGCACAGCCACTCCCGTACTTGGCGTCAATTGACCCTCACGACTGTCCTGTGAAATGGACCTTTTTCTTTGTGTACTTAATTTCTAAAAATTCAGATATAATTTGCATACCATAAAATTCATTTCTCAAAGTGTACAATTCAGTGGTTTCTAGTAAATGCACAAGGTTTTACAGTCATTATCACTAATTCCAGAACATTCTCAAAAGTGAGTACCCATTAGCACTCGCCCCCACTCCTCTTTCCCCTCTGCTCCTGACAACCACTAACCTACTTTCTGTCTATGAATTTGCCTGTTCTGGACATTTCCTATTTATTGAGAAACTATTTTTCCCATTGTCTTTTTGCCCTGTTGAATATTGACCACTAATGTGTAGGGTTATTTCTGGACTCAGATTATGTTACAGAGGTTCAGAGAGGTTAAGCTATTTGGCTAAGGTCACAGAGCTAATAAAAATACTGGGTCCACACCCAGCTCCTTAGATTTTGTCTAAAGTGCTGTGAGAATACATGATGGGGGGAATGATTAACTTCCCACCCCAGGAGGCAGGTGTCAGGACTGGTCCTAAAATCTCCAAAGGGAAAAAGCATAAAGGCCTTTTGGGAAAACAGCAAAGAGTAAGTTGTGGTTGGAATGCCAAAGACTTGCAAGGGTATTTGGCCTTCATTTTTCTGGGAGAAGGGGAGTCCCTGAAGGTTTGTTAGCAGGGAAGACAAGGAGAGGAAGGGGATGCTTGGAGGAGAGAGGTGAGTCTGGATAACTTGATTTTGCAGGCCCTAAAAAATCATGGGGTGCAGATGGGGATGAACAGGTTAGCTGGGGAGAGCATGCTGGAAGCAGAAAGAAGGTTCCAGTGGGACTTGAGTGATGCAAATAGAGCTGAGATCCAACCTCCAGCAGAGGGAGAAAAGCCAAGAAGATGCTGAAAGGCAAGGTCGAGGAAGCTTAATTTGGGGAGGCAAGGAGAAGGGTTAATAACAGGAAGGTGTCTATCAAAACAAGGTTTTAAAGAGGCTGGGGCTTGGCATATAGGAGGCCTACAGGACGACAGTTTCAGGGCACAGTGCAGTCAAGGCTGGTTGGGTGAGAACACGTGTAAGTGTTTGCTGATGATGCAGACAAAGGGAAGAAGCAGCTTGCCCAAGCAGTCTGGAACGAGAAGACAGATTGAGGGCACAGAGGCACCGTGCGGAAAAAAAGACTCCTGTCTCAGCATCCTTGGCCAGCGGAGGGTGCCTGATGCAGAGGAGAGGAAAAGTCTGGCAGGTGAAGGAACAGCCCTGGAGAGGAGAGACCCAGTTTCTCCAAGACCAGAGGGAAGGGAAGAAGAGAGGGTCAAAGAGGAGAGAAGGGAGGCTGAGTGAAATACAAGTAGGCAGGGCTGGGGCTTCAGGGCAATGAGCGAAAGAACTGCCAAGGTCCTAACACCAGCGGCCTCAGCCAAGGGCAACTGCCACAAGCCTGTCCAAGTGTATGACATTCTGCAGCCACCTTGGAAGCAGGAAAATAGACAAATGGTTGGGCAAGGGAGAAAGGAGCTGAGGATGTCGGTGACAGTGTGGTGGAATCATCTGAACGGGTTGTCCCAGCTGGAGAAGCAGGCTGGTCACTCCCTAGGTGATACTCCAGATCCATCCTCCACCCCTCTCTCTGCCTGGGGAGCTGACCTCCATGGCTTGCATCAAGGGACTCTTAGCTGTGGTTGCCAGTGGGGCAGGGAGGAGGGTGGAAGGGGAGAGAGATTGGACAAGAAAACTCCACCCTGCCTGCTCTGCCTGGTTCTGGTCGGTGGCACAGCGCCCCCTGCTGCTGTAGCCTCACAGGTGCCAGTACCACCCAGCCCAGCTGGTCAGAACATCCCACCGAGGCCTGCCCTGGTCCTCACCATCCCCTGGGGCTCCCTAAACCCTGAGCACCCTCTACACACTGGCAGATCCTGTGGGCAGGCCCAGCAGGAGGGTGGGAGGGGGAGGGAGAAAGAAGAGATGGGTGGAGAGGAAGAGAAGAATACTAGATCTTCCCTGCTGGGGTCAGGTTCCTCCCTGAAAGGATCGACAGAGCTCCCTGGAGTTGGCAGGGGAATCAGTGGGTGAGAGAAGGGTCCTGGGAGAGGGAAGGGCAGTAATTCACTTTTCTCCTGTGCAAGATGTCCTGTGCCTCCTGCTTTTGTTTCTTACACACACAGACACAAACACACACTAAATGAGAAGCCTCCTCAGATCCCTCTGAGCAGCAGTCCCAGCCAGGCCTCATGCTGACAGCGGTGCCAGACGACCCATTTTGGATTTGCAGCATCTATGCAAAAACATTTGTCTGACCTGGCTTTTCCTCCAGAAGGGTCCTGGGCCCTACAGCCTACCAGAGGTTCAGCCACTTTGTCACATGGTCCTGAGGGCTCCAGGGCTCTGAGCTGTCTCTGGCTGCAGGATGGGGTGAACCCTCACACAGCGACTGTCGTCCCCCACTCCTGTGATAATTAAAAACTAGCCCTACCTCTGCTTTTGTAAGAGGTCAGGGCCTCTGTGATCCAGTCAGAGCTGCTCTTTCTGGTGATAGAAATGCAGATTAAGTCCTTTTTGACCCCATTCCTTCAAGATTGTGTGAACGTGGCCCAAGTGAAGAACAACCCCCTCTCTTCTGCTTTCCTGAGATGGATTCAAGGCAGAAGCCATGTTCCATTCCCGGCTCCCCCAACACATACCCAGAGGCAACTGCTTGTATTGGTTTCCTGTGTATCCTTCCAGAGTTCCTTTAGGTAAATATAAACAACTATGAACACTGATTTAAAATACTGATTAATGGTGAAAATTTTTATTGAAATACAGTTGCTGTACAATATTATACAAGCTATAAATGTATACGATATAGTGATTCACAATTTTTAAAGGTTATACTGCATTTACAGTTGGGCTTACCAGGTGGCGCCAGTGGTAAAGAACCCGCCTGCCAATGCAGGAGACAAAGAGACACTGGTGTGATGCCTGGTTGGGAAGATCCCCTGGAGGAGGGCATGGCAACCCACTCCAGAAGACTCCCATGGACAGAGGAGCCTGGCGGGCTACAGACCATAGGGTCATAAAGAGTCGGACATGATTGAAATGATTTAGTACACATGCAGCGTTTACAGTTATTATAAAATATTGACTATATTCCCTGGGTTGTACAATATATCCTTATATGTTATTATGTATAATCTCCTCCCCCATCTTGCCCCTCCCTCTCCCCCCACCACTGGTAATCACTAGTTCTGTATATCTGTGTCTGCTTCTTTTTTGTTTTGTTTTGTTTGTTTGTTTTTTCCATTTATTTTTATTAGTTGGAGGCTAATTACTTTACAACATTGCAGTGGTTTTTGTCATACATTGAAATGAATTAGCCATGGATTTACATGTATTCCCCATCCCGGTCCCCCCCTCCCACCTCCCTCTCCACCCGATCCCTCTGGGTCTTCCCAGTGCACCAGGCCCGAGCACTTGTCTCATGCATCCAACCTGGGCTGGTGATCTGTTTCACCCTAGATAATATACATGTTTCGATGCTGTTCTCTTGAAACATCCCACCCTTCTTTTTTGTTATATTCACTAGTTTGCTGTATTTTTTAGATTCCAGCATATAAGTGGTATCATACAGTGTTTGTCTTTCTCTGTCTGACTTATTTCACTTAGCATAATGCCCTCCAAGCCCATCCTTGTTGCTTTAAATGGCAAAGTTTTGTTCTTTTTTATGGCTGAGTCATATTCCATTGTGGATATTTGTATCTATTACAATGGACCTCATTTTCTTTTTTTTTTTTTTCCTGTTTTTCTTTTTTTTTCCATCACCAACTCCCGGAGTCCACCCAAACCCATGTCCACCGAGCCGGCGATGCCATCCAGCCATCCCACCCCCCGCCATCCCCCCTCCCCCCGCCCCCAATCCTCCCCAGCATCAGGGTCCCCTGCAACGAGTCAACTCCTTGCATGAGGCGGCCAAAGCACTGGAGCCTCAGCCTCAGTACCAGCCCCTCCAATGAACACCCAGGACTGATCCCCTCCAGGACGGACCGACTGGATCTACCTGCAGCCCAAGGGACCCCCAAGAGTCCTCTCCAACACCACAGATCAAAAGCAGAGTTTTGTTGTTTAGTTGCTAAGTCATGTCCAACTTTTTTGTAACCCATGGACTGTTGCCTGCCAGTTGCCTCTGCCCATAAGATTTCTCAGGCAAGAATACTGGAGTGGGTTGCCATTTCCTTCTCCAGAGAAAAGCAAAGTAGCCATATTTAATTAGATGATTTCTAGATATGAGACCACTGTGCATCCTACTACAAATTATAAATTTTTAAGACATTTTTCTGAATTTTTAGTTATATAGAAATAAAAGTTATTTTCTATTTTGAAAATGCTCTCTCCTTTACTTTTCTGATTCTCTTTTTAAA